GATAGATCTAGAATAAATAGAATATAGATATAAATAGAATATATAGATATATATCTATCTAGATATATCTAGAGTAAATACAATATAAATATAAATAGAATATGTAGAGATATATCTATATAGATGTATCTAGAATAAATATAAATATAAATAGAATATAGATAGAATAGAGATAAAAATGGAATATAGGTATAAATAAAATGTATAGAGATTATCTATAGAGATATATCTATAGATATATATATAGAATATAGATAGAATATATAGAGATATATCTATATAGATATAGCTAGAATAAATATAATATAAATATAAATAGAATAGAGATACAAATAGAATATATATAGATATATCTGGAATAAATATAGATACAAATAGAATATAAATACAGATATAAAAGAATACTTTAAAAGTACTGATCTATTATAGATCTCTATTATAATATAGATGTAAATAGAACAGATACTGTGGGTGTGTACACCCTGTGTGTGCTTCTTTTATCCTCTGCATTTCATTTCAAATAAAATCCTGGAATGGTTTGGGTGGGAAGGGATCCCAAAGCTCATCCAGTTCCACCCCTGCCATGGGCAGGACACCTCCCAGGGATCTCTAATAAAATAATTCTATGAGCCAGAGACAGAACTGAAAATACCATAAACGCAACAGTTTTCGTCAATGGCCTTTGCTGGGTCAGCAAAAAAAACCAACAAAAACAAACCACATGAAAGGTTTTTAAAGAAATAAAATAAAACTCATTCAGACCTGAATAACACCTGCAGAATATGAATTACTGCAGATGGACTTGAGAAAGGCCAAGCCAATCGTTGTCCCCTCGAAGTTGAGGCCCCTGGAAAGGAGAAGGAAGCAGAAGGGGGTCAGTGATGGGACATAAAATAAGGAAAATATAAAAAAAATAAATTATGAAATATATAATATCTAAATATATCGCTGATACATAATATATTATAATATAATATATAATACATTATTATATATATTATATAATATGTATATTATGTACACTGTTATATTATATATTATAATATATATAATATATATAATTTAAAATACAAAAAATAAAATGTAAAAATAAAAATTAAGAAAGAAATTGAGAAATAAAAATAAATAATAATAAAATAAAATAATAAAATAATAAAATAGTAATTAAATAATAAAAATAAATAATATATAATATATATAATTATATATAATATTTATAATACAATATATACTATGTTATAATATATAATATAGATAATACAATATATACTATATTATAACATAATACATTATTCTTTATAATATATAATATGAATATTATGTGTACTACATTATATATTATATTATATATAATATATATAATAAAAATATTTGTTCTATTATATTATTATATATTATATTACAATACATAATATATAATTATATTAGATATACTATATTATGTATTAGATAAATAATTTTACATAAATAATAGATTATTTATATATTATATAAATTATATAATATATAATAAATAATAAATAAATCTTAGATAAATAATATAATATGTATTAGATAAATAATCAATAAAAATTATATATATCTAAATATTAGATAAATAATATATTATTCATATCTTATATGAATTATATAGATAATATATTGTTTATCTAATATATATATTATCTATATTATATATTATCTATATTATATATTGTCTAATATATTTTATCTAATATATGTATTAGAAAATAATTACATTTATCTAATATCTAATATAGACATTAGATAAAGAATAAAAATAATATAGATAAATAATATATTCAAGAAATAATATATCAACTATAATTATAGTAACATATTATAATATACTATAAAATAATAATTTATATAATATATATAATTCATATTACATATAACATATATCATAAATATAAATACATAATATATTTTTATATATGTTATATATAACATATATAATATAAATAAATTAATTAATATAATAAATATGAAATAAAAATATAAAATAAGGAAAATGTTAAAAAATACATTTTTTCCTCGCACCAGGAAAAAAACAAGAGCACCATTTTTAGCAATTAAAACTCGCATTTTAATTTGTATTTTGAATTTTTTAGTTTCATTTTTCTCAATTAAAACTCGCACTTTAATTTTTATTTTTAAATTTTTTTTTTCATTTTTATTTTTCATTTTCATTTTTCATCTTTACCAATTAAATCCCGCATTGTAACTGATACAAACCGGCGTCGGCGAGCCCGAAATCCAGGTCGGTTATAGACTAATTTTTAAGGAATGAAGGGGTTTGGGATGGAGAGGCACCCACGTGATGAGCTGAGCGTTGTCATTCCCCTTCCTCTTGAGCAGGTCCGAGCGGCGCCATTTGGCGAAGGCGTCCAGGGTGATCCCGGCGTTCCTACTCAGGGGCCGCTTGTCCCCGTCCGTCCACACCTCCAACCCCACCAGAGCCACGTGGATATTGATGGCCTTGTAAACCTGCACAGACACTCAGCTCAGAACAACTCTGGCC